TTCCCCTCCCTCTATATCTGTCCTTGCAACCCATGGCACCCAAATGTTTTTAGCTGGTGTTGGAATAATTATGTCCTCTCAGTTGACACTTTCTGATGTTTACTATATTTCTTAGTTTACTTTGAATTTAATCTCAGTTAGTCAGTTGTTTGATTTGAAATTTTTAGTTCACTTTTCATCTACTGGTTGTGTTGTGCAGAATCCACGGTTCAAGAAGCTGATAAGGATAGACCATAAAAAATGATGGTTTGTATGTGTTGGACGAGCTTCATGTTCCTAAGTTGTTGTATCTACTGTTAATGAATTTATCTTCCTTTCAATTGAGTCTAAAGTCATCTAGTTTCTATTGATGACATTCTTGCTTAGATCATGTTTCTCATTCTCGTTTGAAATTTTTAACTTATACTAGTAGTTTTGATAACTTAAGAGTGTTATGATATTTTAGATTGTAGTGGATGCAGGTTGGCTAAATTTATTGCATTACCTTTTAATAAAAGTAATTCTAGCCCCTTTGCACCTTTTGATCTTATACATTCTAATATTGGGGACCAGCTCCTATTGCTACTAAAAGGGGGTCTAAATTTTCTCTTTTATTGATAATCATGTCTGATACTGTGGGTTTATCTAATGAAACGTAGGTCTGAATTCTTTTCTGTCTTCATTGTTTTTCGTGATATGGTGCGTACCCAATATTTTTCTATTATCAAATACTTTCGATGTGATCAAGAAGAAAAATATTCCTTTAATTCTTTTCGTGATTTGTTGAAATCTGATGGTACTATTTATCAGTCTTTTTATATTGACACACTTGAGTAGAATGGCGTGGTCGAGCGAAAATATATGTTTTAAGGAAACTGAAGTTTAGAGTTAGGTCCACTACAAGTCTAATAGAGTCAAGATGGATGGTTAAGGAAACTGGTCGCGTACATATTATACAGAAGTGCCCATTTCCTTCTTGATGTAAGGGATGAATTCCCTAATGCTTTTGTGTTGTATTGAGTTACATAGTTGTATGGTTTATCTCTTTTATGAGATTATTAGTTGGTATTATTAGTTTTAAATGATTTCTTGTATTACAGGCATAGGTATTATCATGTGTCGAGTTATACTTCCATATTTGGAATACCAAATAAGTCTGTCGGGATGGGATGTGACTGCTCGAAATAATTTTAGGCTTGAATCAACATATTTGAGTGAGGTCTTGTATATTTTTATTTAACTCTTTGAAGTATAAAATTATTAATTAATTAATTATATTGATTTAATTTAGTTATATTTAAATACTTATATTAATTTACTTTTCGAAGTAAAATTTTTTTAGTTAAGAGTGATTGATTTACTTATTCTTTCTTATAACACAATCAATTTGATGTTGGATTTTATCAATTTTAATATGTGAGAACTTCTTTTTGTAAAAGTAATTATTAAAGATAATGCAAGTAATATATTGTAAGCAAAACATTAACTTAAAAAATAATCTAATTTTAGTATATAATTTAGTACCTCAATTAGAAAACTTGCAATTTGAATGTTTGAAATATAGAGAGAAAATGAATTGGTGATTGTTTTTAGTTTGAGAAATACTATGTATCCTAAATTTGCAACCCAAATTTGCATCCCAAATAAAGGGAGACTTTTGGATGAGTGGATCCCATTAACTTTTATAAATGAGACTCACTGATTCAACGGTCTCCTTCATTTGAGATGTAAATTTGAATTACAAATTTGGGTTACATAGTATTGCTTATACGACAAAAAATATATTTTTAAATAAAATAATAATATTATTAGGACCTAAAAATATGACATAATAATTTGTACTAATGATTTAGCATGTATTATTATCCCAATAAAAAAAGTCTTACAGTGATAATTATAAAAATATCACTACAGAAAAAAATTGGAGCCTTATAAAAAAAATTCGGGGCCTTATTTTTTTCATGGGCCTAAAGCCATCTTTTTGATGGGCTTGGGCTGCTGCCGGCCATGCCTTTGATTTGTATTTGGTGTGGCATAGGTTGTGTGCGTTGTAAGGGTGTCTGTGGAATGGAGAAGGCGAGGTGGAGAGGGCACATGGGGACCAACACAGAGGAATGGGAGTGGGGGGTTGGATTGGATCAGTGGAGATGGAGTGATGGTTTGGTCACAACTGAAGTTTTTAACTCTTTATTTTTTACATTTATTTCATTATTTTTTTGGGATTTTTGTACTTTGTACCGTGAAAGATATCTCCATTTTTACTTTACACCCCAAAATATTATTATTTTCACTTGCGCCCTGAATATCATAAATTGATTCTAATATGACCCTCGAACTAACATTTGTTTTAGATTCCGTTAAAAATTGATGCACATGCCACCCAAGAATATGAATGATGAGTTTATATTTATGTATAAGAGAACCACACATGAGTGACATGTGCGTCAAATTTTAACGGAATTTGAAATGAATGTTAGTCCGAGGGCCACATTAGAACCAATTTATGTTATTTATGGTGTAATGTGAAAAAAATAATCTTTTAGAGTGCAAAGTGATAATCGAGATATCTTTCTGGTTACAAAATATGTAAAGCCCTTATTTTCTTAATTCGTTTAACAAAAGGATAAGAACCTCGTAGGATTGACCTTAGTATCACAGCTGAAGTTTTAACATCTAGAATATCAACAAATAAAAGTTACAAAAACAGGGTAAGAGAAACAAATTGAACATCTGGTCCAAGTGTAGTTTAGGGACTTCCGGGAAAATTTTGGCGATGTTAATAAAAGTTTATTAGTCAACTGACGATCAATTCACTGGACTGTATAAGTTGACATGAAACCTCAAGGAAGTTTTTGAAAATTTCTAAAATCAAGGGGTGGAGTATAATAAATACAAATCACAGGGGAAACTTATGTAATTTTCCCTTGTAGACATACAATTGCGGAAGCCTCACCCTACTGGACTTTATTTCAATTTCTTTTTTTTTGATAGTAACATTTTATTCACTACAGGGAAGGGGAGCCAGAGATGGGAGTCGAACCTTCAACACGCTGGTAGGATTGAGGTCCCTCTATTTCAATTTCTGGTGGGGTAGGAGTTAAAGATTTTGAAGCACCTGCTGTTTATATTAGCTCAAACTTTTTCATAAGCTGAAGTTTTGAACAACACATTTTTTTTTTTTTTNTGGATGAGTGGATCCCATTAACTTTTATAAATGAGACTCACTGATTCAACGGTCTCCTTCATTTGAGATGTAAATTTGAATTACAAATTTGGGTTACATAGTATTGCTTATACGACAAAAAATATATTTTTAAATAAAATAATAATATTATTAGGACCTAAAAATATGACATAATAATTTGTACTAATGATTTAGCATGTATTATTATCCCAATAAAAAAAGTCTTACAGTGATAATTATAAAAATATCACTACAGAAAAAAATTGGAGCCTTATAAAAAAAATTCGGGGCCTTATTTTTTTCATGGGCCTAAAGCCATCTTTTTGATGGGCTTGGGCTGCTGCCGGCCATGCCTTTGATTTGTATTTGGTGTGGCATAGGTTGTGTGCGTTGTAAGGGTGTCTGTGGAATGGAGAAGGCGAGGTGGAGAGGGCACATGGGGACCAACACAGAGGAATGGGAGTGGGGGGTTGGATTGGATCAGTGGAGATGGAGTGATGGTTTGGTCACAACTGAAGTTTTTAACTCTTTATTTTTTACATTTATTTCATTATTTTTTTGGGATTTTTGTACTTTGTACCGTGAAAGATATCTCCATTTTTACTTTACACCCCAAAATATTATTATTTTCACTTGCGCCCTGAATATCATAAATTGATTCTAATATGACCCTCGAACTAACATTTGTTTTAGATTCCGTTAAAAATTGATGCACATGCCACCCAAGAATATGAATGATGAGTTTATATTTATGTATAAGAGAACCACACATGAGTGACATGTGCGTCAAATTTTAACGGAATTTGAAATGAATGTTAGTCCGAGGGCCACATTAGAACCAATTTATGTTATTTATGGTGTAATGTGAAAAAAATAATCTTTTAGAGTGCAAAGTGATAATCGAGATATCTTTCTGGTTACAAAATATGTAAAGCCCTTATTTTCTTAATTCGTTTAACAAAAGGATAAGAACCTCGTAGGATTGACCTTAGTATCACAGCTGAAGTTTTAACATCTAGAATATCAACAAATAAAAGTTACAAAAACAGGGTAAGAGAAACAAATTGAACATCTGGTCCAAGTGTAGTTTAGGGACTTCCGGGAAAATTTTGGCGATGTTAATAAAAGTTTATTAGTCAACTGACGATCAATTCACTGGACTGTATAAGTTGACATGAAACCTCAAGGAAGTTTTTGAAAATTTCTAAAATCAAGGGGTGGAGTATAATAAATACAAATCACAGGGGAAACTTATGTAATTTTCCCTTGTAGACATACAATTGCGGAAGCCTCACCCTACTGGACTTTATTTCAATTTCTTTTTTTTTGATAGTAACATTTTATTCACTACAGGGAAGGGGAGCCAGAGATGGGAGTCGAACCTTCAACACGCTGGTAGGATTGAGGTCCCTCTATTTCAATTTCTGGTGGGGTAGGAGTTAAAGATTTTGAAGCACCTGCTGTTTATATTAGCTCAAACTTTTTCATAAGCTGAAGTTTTGAACAACACATTTTTTTTTTTTTTAGATACTAAATTTGAGCTTCTCCAGAAAATTTTAGCTCCAACTTTGGACAGCAGTGTCCTACCTTTTGACAAGGTAACAATATTGAAGTCTAGTTAGAAAACAGAATAGAAAAAAACATTATATCCCTGCATAACCAAGAAAATTCAGGATATTATTAACAACCTGTATTTCTTGCTGCTTGTTATACATAATTCTATCCAAACTAACAATCCCTTCTTGGAATCAACAACTAGAAAATGTGCCAAATTATACAACTTTAAACAGAATCAGTTTTTCCAAATTTGTTATTACCTACAGAGCCTTGATTTCAATCAATCACCATATGACCCTGTTTTCAGCTTAATCTCCTTCAACAGCTTGACAACATCTAGCATTGTAGGCCGTTTCCACGGCTCATCCAACGTGCACAACTGCGCAATGTCGAGAACATGCAACATCTGATCCTTCCACATGAATGAAGTAGAAAAATACGGGTCTAGTACCTCACAATCCCTGCCAGTTGCAACCATCCACCTTACCCACCCAACTAGATTTCCTCCTTCAACATCAGCCTGTCCGGTTGGCGCCCTTCCGGTTACAAGCTCTAGCATCACAACTCCAAAGCTGTAGACATCGCCCTTGGTTGTAGCCACCATGGTCTGGCCATACTCGGGAGGTATGTATCCAAATGTACCTGCAAGTACTGTACTGACATGGCTTTCACATGCACTAATTATCCTAGCCAAGCCAAAATCTGATACCCTTGGCTCAAATTTGCCGTCCAGCAAGATATTGCTTGACTTGATGTCTCTGTGAATGATGTGGGGAACAAATCCGTGGTGCAGAAAGGCAAGTCCTCGGGCTGAACCCAGACAGATTGTGAACCGGGTTGGCCAGTCAAGAGCCTCAACTGCGTCTGCCCGGTTCCTCAACCACACATCAAGGCTTCCATTCTCCATGTATTCATATATCAAAAACCTCTCATCTGCAAAGACACAATACCCAAGCAATGGGACCAGGTTTTCATGCTTAACCTTTCCAATCGTCTCTATCTCGGCCAAGAATTCGCGGTCACCATGCAAATGACCACCATTAAGCCTTTTGACGGCTATTGTTCTACCTCCTGGCAGTGCAGCTCTGTAAACTGTACCAAATCCACCATCACCAATTATGTAAGTCTTGCTGAAATTTTCAGTCGCTGATAATATATCAGCAGCATTTAACCGTAACAGGGAGTGCTCAAAAGTTGCAATATTTATGCTTAGTGGCTCCTTTGACTTCTTTCCCAGAAGCTCATCAGTAGACTCTGGTTCAATAGCTGTCACAAGCTTACCCTTCCCCACATCAAGAAACACAGCTTCTTTTCTTGGCATTTTCCATTTGAGAAGAGCAATAAGCAAGACTAGGGAAATGAACATGGTACCTAGTGCAATGCCCAGAACAGAAGCATGGTTTAAAAGTGGTGCAGGTCTGTAACCACGTCTGGAAGGTAAAACAGGCTGGTCTGGTATGCAAGGTTTAGCATTGGTGCAAGTCTCAGGCACATGCCCAGTGAATCCGTTGCCAGAAAAATTGACAAATGACAGGCCTTCTATGTTACAAATATTGCAAGGAAAGGACTGCTGGAAATTGTTGTTGGATAAGTCGAGATAGGTCAAGTCAGCAAGAGTAGAGAGTGATGATGGCAGGGTACCAGTTATTCTGTTGTTATGGATATCTAGAATAGAAAGGGTGGTCAGGTTACACAATGAGTCACGAAGGGTGCCGGAAAAAAGGTTGTTGCTGGCGTTTAGGACCAATAGAGAGCTAGAGGTTCCAAGGTCAAAAGAGATTGGTCCAGAGAAAGAATTCATGCTAACATCTAGGTAGGACAGACTCTTGATAATGAATATGGACGATGGCAGTGGACCTGTTAACCTGTTACTTGAAAGGTCAAGCTTGGCCAGACCAGGCATCGACAACCCAAAACTATCAGGGATAGAGCCACTTAGCCAGTTGTGTGAAAGTATGAGCCCCTGAAGGTTTCTCATAGAGAAGAACTGAGGAACAATTGGCCCTGAAAAACAATTGAAAGAGAGATCAAGCAAAGTTAAGTTAGCCAGACCAGAAATCTCAGAAGGAAGGCTTCCATTCAGTTTGTTTCCTTGCACCTGGAGCTCCGTTAACACAATACACTGCTTAATTGATGTGGGAATGGGTCCTTCTAACTTGTTATTGGCCAGATCAAGCATGCCATAATGCTGGACAAACTCGGAGTCTGGTAAAGGCACCTTTTGAAAACCGGAGCAGATCTCCTCAGGTATGGGACCAGATAATTGGTTGTCCGATAGCACCAGGTTGTCAAGCAGTTTCAACTGTGCTATGGATTTTGGAATTGGGCCTGTAAGCATGTTTCCACCCAGGTCAAGAGACACCAGCTTTGTACAGTCAAAAAGCTCCAAGGGGATCTCTCCTGTCAACTTGTTGCCATGTAGAGACAGATTAGTCAGATTTTTGAGCTCGCCAATGGAACTTGGTATATTTCCTTCGAATAGATTGTTATCCAATTGTAGCCTCTGTATTGTGGATAGTTTTGCAACTGCCACCGGAATCTGACCTTCAAGCAAATTGTTGCTGAGTGATATCTCCATAAGGGTTTTTGACTCCCACAGTTCAATAGGAACCTCACCTGAGAATCTGTTTTTTGACAGTTCCAATGTAATCAGCTGAAGTTCCCCGAGATAAGCAGGTATTTCACCAAATAAATCATTTCCCGACAATACCAGATCTGTGAGATTGAAACATTCCCTGAAAGTTCTGTCTATGGTACCAGCAAAGTCGTTATCTGATAGCAATAGAATGGCCAAAGACTTGCCATGGCATATTTCTGCAATCAACTCACCAGAAAGCATGTTGGTACTAACGTCAAGAAGGGTCAAGGAGGGCAAATTAAGTGGTGGCAGATGCCCAGTAAAGAGATTTTTCGCTAACATGATAGATTCTACTTGTGTCCAGTTGGAAATCCAATGAGGCAACGGCCCAGATAGACGGTTTGAGTCAAGGACAAACGAGTTAATCGACTCCAACCCTGCAAGACCATCTGGGAGTGGACCAGCTAATGAGTTGAAAGACAGATTTAGAATCCTCAGCTTCTTGCAATTTCCCAATTGTGCTGGAATTGTTCCACTCAGTCCTGCACTGGCAGCAAGGAGGTAAACTAGATTTGTAAGTTTCCCAATGCTTGAAGGCAATTCTCCCTCAAACTCATTCTGAGCTATATTCAAGGAAGTCAAGCTAGTCAGTTTAGAGATTTCTTCAGGGACATTTCCTGTGAATCTGCAACTCTGGAGATTGAGTGCTTGTAGATCTCTCAGATTGCCAATATTTGCTGGTAAAGGACCAGTCAGCAAGTTCCATGAGAAGTCGAGAGTCCTAAGCACCCCCAACTTTCCAATTCCCGAAAATACTGGTCCCGTAAATCTGTTATGACTAGCATCAAAGTACAATAGACTCCTAAGATTCACTAAACTGGAAGGTAGGTTCCCCGAGAACCAATTTACACTGAGGTCAAGGGACTGCAGTTTCTGTAGATTTCCCATCTCTTCTGGAAGGTTCCCGGAAAATAAGTTTGAATGGACTGACAGTTCAGTAAGTTCTTCTAGGTGACCAATTGTTGATGGTAAACTGCCAGAAAAATTATTGTCATCTAGCACAAGTTCTCTCAGGTTTTTCAGGTTAGACAGGGTAGGAGGCAGCACACCATCCAATCTGTTGTCACTCAGGTTCAGTGTCTCCAACTTATCTAGACTCCAAATATTTGGAGGAATACTACCTGTGAGGCCGCAATGACTGAGGTTAAGGTGCTTCAGGGATCTGAATTCTCCAAGAAGGTTGGGAAATGGAAGATTCAAGGGTAGAAATGTACAAGATAAATCTAAGTCAAAAACAGCTGCACCCTCACACTTTACACCTGTCCAGTTACAAGGAGGAATCTTTGAATCAAACCAGCTCGGTAAAATCTCTCTTTTTGGCAGAAGAGAGTTTCTAAGAGCTATTAATGCCTCAACGTCCCCAAAATATCTGGCACTTGAAAATGGTAAAAAGATGAAGCATAAAATGATGATGACAAGAGTATGAAAGGCCTTTGATCTTGGAGTTAACTTTGTCATTCTGCACCAAGTTTGGAAGGTGAAGATCGATTCCAGGGGGCTTTTTCCTTCAAACATTCCCTCCATTTATTAGAGTTACAACTTTAAAGCTCAAGGGAACGATTCTGCATGGTGAAACAAGAAATTTTGTGAATTGATGATTTCAAGTCCCGTTCATTTCTGGAAGATGAAAAAGGCCAGCAGATCTACGTTAAGTGCATTTTTTCATGAGCACTATCTACAGATTATTGCATCACAAAAAGAATCATGCCAAACTTGGTGGAGAATAGAAGGCACTCCTCAGTAAAAAGGATGAGAACTGACAGAATCTTCACACGATGTAGGTGACATTAATCTGTTCAGGGTGCCTGCTGTGATCATGGTTAAACTAGATAATTTGTTACAAGAAAATTGGACGCTTCATATACCAGGTCAGGTCTAACACCATCTGACAAGAAGTTATTAAGGATCAGAAAACATTGACAGATTTATTCTGCTGACTTCAATCAGCCAAACTCAGGAACAGAATATTAAATTCCTCAATAAGTTTGGATCAGTTAAAGCAGAAAAATGATAAATAATTTCAACAAACAAAACGATTAACATCAGCAGTCAAAGAGTTGACAGTGGTTAACTGGTACAGTCCAAACTGTGTAACACTACACCAGTCCCAATAGAGGATGCACATACCCAGAACTCTACATTACATGAATTATCTGGAAAGTAAATGTATAGTCAAAGGACGTTCCTGCTTTGCAAGAGCAACAATCTCTGCCTTAATTCGATGGAATATTTTCATACGAGTTTATCTCCATGTAAAATGCCATCGAAGGAAGTAAACTAAAAGCGCTGCATTTTCTATGAACTACTTCAAAAAGATTAAAAAAATAAAACTTCTTTTCAAGCATATTTCTCTTTTCATTATCATTGATCTATTTCTTCTTGGTGTGATATTTTTTCTCTCAAAATTTATATCTATGTAAATGTTATTGATCCTCATCCCAATGTGAACTCACTATGACACCATGAATACCAGCTTGAATTATATTTCTCTTTGCGTTTATGTGCATGTGGTACCTGCATGCGAGAGTGCCCGTATACGCAGGCATGATGATGCAATTTAGCTTGTGAAAGTTTTGCAGCGAAACTTAAGTGTGGTTCCTTATCACAGGACGTGCCATAACAAATATTATGAGTAAATTAAAGCAGGGTACCTTCTCTAAAGTTGAACCCCAACCCAAAAAAAAAGAAAGAATAAAAGTGAAATGCATTTAAAAAGCAAAACTTCTACAAGTCTTACAGATCAGCTAAAGCTAAATAAACATTCATTAACCCTTTTATAATTTAAGAAAATATAGAGTTTACCTTTAATTAGTTGCACTAATTTGAGCATCTCTGGAATCTGATGGCTCATCACAAGTTTCACTCCCTGATACAATAAGTACCCCACAAAAAAGCAAGTAAGAGGAACTTCATAAATCAATTTATCTAACAGAATGTTAGTGTGTTAAATTGGCTCTTTCACAGCTATAGCAAAATAAACACATACTTTCCTTTACATTATTTCCTATAAACAAACCTTAAAGAGCAGTTATACATGCATGCACCATGCCATAAAAACTTTATTTTGGTACGAAATTGAGAAACTTTGTAAAAAAAATTCTTCCCCTTTATTCACCACAATGACAGGAGTATCTACATGTAGAAACATTTATTACAGTTAGCCCCAAAACACATAATAAATCAAAAACATCCCCAACTCTGTTTCCTCTACGAACCCAAAAAGTAAAGAAACTCATTTTTTAAATCAAATAGCTATTCTACATAATCCCTTGTGTGTGTGTATGTGAGAGAGAGAGAGAGAGAGAGAGACCTGATCACTTTTTAAGGCTGATGGGTTGATTAAGACACTTTAATGCACAATAAAGGAACAACAACTCTGCTCCGTTTTCTGAAGGATTAAAAAAACTTTTTTTAAAAGTCAAAACACTATCATTACCCCTCAGATACAGAAAACACCCCGATCCTCAAACCCTGTCCAACAAAACCCAGAAGCCAAGAGCCCGAAGACCAATCCAAACAAATGATTCACACTTTGAAGGTTCCAAAATATAAAGACAGAAGCAGACTAAGAATTTTCTCTGTGAGTGGTGATGGAGAGTGAGAAAACCCGGAAAAAAGCTGGTCACTTTACCCAATGGCATTGGGCTCAATAAAGATACCTACACAGAACTCTTAATATCCTATAATAAAACAAAGGATTAGAATGATACTTTCCAAGAAAACAAAGCATGAGAATTTCATAGAAGCAGCATATAAAGCATGCATTTCTTTATAATCAAACATCTAATCACCCCTTTCCCTTTTAGCATATAGATAACATAGAATACATGTAACTGTAGCATGAGATGAGAGTCTCTATCCACTAAATGACACAACAATGATAAAGAAAGAAAGAGAATGGACCAGTTTCGATACAACTAAATACATCAACATTTTTCGTGGTTTGGGATCAGTAAGATTTGTAGAGCTCAATGAGATCAGTTTATGAAACAAATCTCCATAAAGATAATGATCCAGACGAGCAAAAGCCCAAAAGAAAAAAATCCAAAGAAAAACAAGGAGTTTTCAGAAGAACTTGAAGCATTCAATGTCTCTGAAGTGGGTACATACTTTTTTCTCTCTAAGGGGTAGAAGGGAGAAGGAATGAACTTCAATGAAGTTGGGTAAAGTTTGGAATTATTTTCTGAGACAAAGAGGAAGGCTACGAGAACAGCATCTCATTTCTTGCACACTTGCAGAGCCGGTTTAACCATGAAAAACAAACACCCCCATCACTTTCTCTTCTCTCTCTCTCTCTCTCTATAACTGAAAGCTAAAAGATTGTTTCTCTCTCTCTTTCATATTATCTTTCTGCGTCAGGAAGAGGAGGATTTGATGCTGCGTTCGTCGTCGGTTTTTGCAGACTGGCGTGGAAGGCATGAGTGAGCATCTTTTCTCTCTCTCTCTCTTCACATGCTTCCAAATTCCAAAAGTAGACGGTTACATTCATACACTTTTCACTCCTGTCTTTTTCTCTCTCAGGGTCGGGGAGTCCCCCTGAGAGAGTAAGATAGGTTATTGTTGCACTCGCTAGCTTGTGTTAACACGCACTCTCTCTCTCTCATTGCGGTGACGTGGGTCAACAATTATCTTGTAGTAAGGGTGATGATTTTGTTCGTCGAGCGTCTGTTTGTTTAGTAGAAATATGGTAAAAAATATAAGAAAGAAATTTTTTTTTAAATTTTTATATATTCAATTAACATGAAATAAAAATTATGATAAAAAATAATGATATCTGCATTTTGTAAGAAAAGTTAAAATATGATAAAAATAAGAAGAAGAAGAAGGGATTTGAGTGTGAGAAGATGATTAAAATAAAAAGAGATTTTGGAGAGAAAGAAGTATAAGGAAAAAAGAAAGAAAGAAAGAAAAAAGCTTTGAATGTAACAAAATAAAAGAAGCTGATTATTGGGAGAAAATGGATATTTTCTTTAAAAAGATTCAATTAAAGTTTTGAGTTTGAGTATTAGAATGATTTGTATCAAAATTAAGCTTTTTATTCGATTGTTGATTCAAATTTGAGTAAAAATTTGAGATAATATTGGTGATAGCCTAACAAATGCGTATTTGGATTGAATGGAGACACAAAGTATGTTTGGATGGTAAAGTTGGGGTGGATTGGATATCTAAAACAGTAATATAAGTTAAGGTTATTCTCACCCCACAAATCTCTGTTTCTACCCCATTAAACTTTAAATCATAAAACTATTAAGTTCATCCATTTTATAGTCACCTCACCTCACTGGTAACTAAGTTTACCATATTCTACACTCACCCCACTAATTATTAAATTCATCTCAATCTTTTTTTTAGGGTTTCTTTTTATACTCTATCTCACACAGCTTATACAAAAATATAATCAATTTAATTATTTAGTATCGATCTCTCAAGTGATACTTAAATTGGTATTGAATGTTACCAAAAATACAGATAAGCCTTAACTCTAATCATTCTATTTGAATTTATCTTAAAAAAAAATAATAACTTAAGTTTGTATATTTTTATATATGCACACACACACACACACACACATATATATATATATTACGGAGAACAGATATATGAGTATCATTACTATGAGGTCCTTCTTCAATGATAACCGCTTCGGCGTCTAATAGAAGGATCACCACCCAATGAAGAGGTTCTCATTACCAATAACCACAATTCCACAATAAGTAAGATGCATTATAAGAGATGAACCAATAATTAGGGAAGATATAAATCATATAATGCATATGATATTGGTGTTGAATATCATTTAAGAGATCTATAGTAGATAATCAAGTTGATTTTTCTTTCGTACAGATTATGTGAGATAGGGTATAGAAAGAAACCCTAAAAGTGAAAACTGATATGAGTTTAATCATTAACGAGTGGGCGGGGTGGACATAGTTATCAGTGGGGTGGATATAGAAGGGGTATAGTTAATAATTTTATGATTTAGAGTTTAATAGGGTGTGAATGAAGTTTTGTGGGGGTGAGAATAGCCGCACCCAAAAAGATATCATTTCATATCCAATCTAAACCTACTTAGTTGTTATTCAGATAAGATATAAATTGGTATATTCAGTCATTTCCTTTGTTTGGATAAATTATACATTTTTATGAAACCCACAGATAAGAGTGATATAATTTGCTTTCATTGACTATTATACCCTTATCCTATCTAATTCACCACCATGTTTGATTTATAAATTAGCCTCCAACCCATTCCAAACAAAAAAAATACACTTTCACATCTATTTTTTTAATAACTCATTCAAATATAAAATAAATATTTTTAAATATATTATAATCATAAAAAAGCAAGGGTGTGTTATGGTGAGCAAGAGAAGAGAAAAACGACTTATATGAGGCGATGATAGATAATAGGGAGATCTTTTTACCTAGGGGTGGAGATATTCGTAAATTATATTACATATCCTGGCAAAAAAATATCCAGACCAGACCCCCTTTGCGTTTCATTTAACTCATGTAGATAGGTTAAAGTTGACTTTTCAAATCGGGTCGGGATAAAATCCAAATGAGATTTTCTATGCAACTTTTACTTACTAAACATAGAATATATGAGTCTTACATACTTTTTATCCTATCCTATCATAGTTATCCACCTTTAACCCGTGATCTAAACATACCCACAGGGAGTTTGGATGTCTGGAATGGATTAGATAATATATCAAATTTATGTTCATTCCCATTCAAGTCAAACCCATCTAGCCATTTGCATTGAGTTAGATGTATGTAGGGGTGTTCAAATTTTTGATTACTTGTATATTCCGACCCTATGCACCC